CGAAAGCGCATAATATTAACTTTCACGTCTTTTTCGATAACAGGTGCAGCTGGAAAAACATGCTTATTATCTCCACAAACTGTCCAGTTATCCAAGAATGAGGCATCAACAGAAAGCCTATTGATCGTAGATTCTAAAAATATAATTTTCAGACCGTGCGAAATTCAAGTTATTGCTACAAGTGGCCTTGAAATACAAAAGAACGTAAGATTCGAAAGCGCATAATATTAACTTTCACGTCTTTTTCGATTACAGATGCAGCTGGAAAAACATGCTTATTATCTCCACAAACTGTCTAGTTATCCAAGAATGAGGCATCAACAGAAAGCCTATTGATCGTAGATTCCAAAAATACAATTTTCAAACCGTGCCAAATTCTAGTTATTGCTACTAGTGGCCTTGAAATACAAAAGAGCGTAAGATTCGAAAGCGCATAATATTAACTTTCACGTCTTTTTCGATAACAGGTGCAGCTGGAAAAACATGCTTATTATCTCCACAAACTGTCTAGTTATCCAAGGATGAGGCATCAACAGAAAGCCTATTGATCGTAGATTCCAAAAATACAATTTTCACACCGTGCCAAATTCAAGTTATTGCTACAAGGGGCCTTGAGATACAAAAGAACATAAGACTCGAAAGCGCATAATATTAACTTTCATGTCTTTTACGATTACACAGCTGGAAAAACTTGCTTTTTACGTCCGCGCTCAAGTCTAGTGATGCGCGAGTCCGCGCTCAAGTCTAGTGATGCGCGAGTAAGGCAGCGACTCCACAAACTGTCTAGTTATCCAAGGATGAGGCATCAACAGAAAGCCTATTGATCGTAGATTCCAAAAATACAATTTTCACACCGTGCCAAATTCAAGTCTCTGCTACAGGAGAATTGAAATTCAATAGAAAATAAGGTTCGAAATGGCATAATATTATCTTTCATGTCTTTTCGAGTACACATGCACCTGGAAAAACATGCTTTTTATCTCCACAAACTGTCTAGTTATCCAAGAAGTCCGCGCTCAAGTCTAGTGATGCGCGAGTAAGGCAGCGACGGAAAGACTATTGATCATAGATTCCAAAAATACTATTTTTACATTGGCCCAAATTCAAGTCTCTGCTACAGGAGAATTGAAATTCAATAGAAAATAAGGTTCGAAATGGCATAATATTATCTTTCATGTCTTTTCGAGTACACATGCACCTGGAAAAACATGCTTTTTATCTCCACAAACTGTCTAGTTATCCAAGAATGAGGCATCAACAGAAAGCCTATTGATCGTAGATTCCAAAAATACAATTTTCAGACCGTGCCAAATTCTAGTTATTGCTACAAGGGGCCTTGAAATACAAAAGAACATAAGATTCGAAAGCGCATAATATTAGCTTTCATGTCTTTTACGATTACACAGCAACTGGAAAAACCTGCTTTTTACCTCCACGCACAAGTCTAGTGATATGCAGCTGCAAAAACATACTTATTATCTCCACAAACTGTCTAGTTATCCAAGAATTTTACGATTACACAGCTGGAAAAACCTGCTTTTTACCTCCACGCACAAGTCTAGTGATGCAGGAGTAAGGCATCGACGGAAAGCCTATTGATCATAGATTCCAAAAATACTATTTTGACATTGGCTCAAATTCAAGTCTCTGCTACAGGAGCATTGAAATTCAAGACCGTGCCAAATTCTAGTTATTGCTACAAGGGGCCTTGAAATACAAAAGAACATAAGATTCGAAAGCGCATAATATTAGCTTTCATGTCTTTTACGATTACACAGCTGGAAAAACCTGCTTTTTACCTCCACGCACAAGTCTAGTGATGCAGGAGTAAGGCATCGACGGAAAGCCTATTGATCATAGATTCCAAAAATACTATTTTGACATTGGCTCAAATTCAAGTCTCTGCTACAGGAGCATTGAAATTCAATAGAAAATAAGGTTCGAAATGGCATAATATTAACTTTCACGTCTTTTTCGATTACAGATGCAGCTGGAAAAACATGCTTATTATCTCCACAAACTGTCTAGTTATCCAAGAATGAGGCATCAACAGAAAGCCTATTGATCGTAGATTCCAAAAATACAATTTTCAGACGGTGCCAAATTCAAGTTATTGCTAGAAGTGGCCTTGATATACAAAAGAACGTAAGATTCGAAAGCGCATAATATTAACTTTCACGTCTTTTTCGATTACAGATGCAGCTGGAAAAACATGCTTATTATCTCCACAAACTGTCTAGTTATCCAAGAATGAGTCATCAACAGAAAGCCTATTGATCGTAGATTCCAAAAATACAATTTTCAGACCGTGCCAAATTCAAATTATTGCTACAAGTGGCCTTGAAATACATTTCATTTTAAGATTCGAAAGCGCATAATATTAACTTTCACGTCTTTTTCGATTACAGATGCAGCTGGAAAAACATGCTTATTATCTCCACAAACTGTCTAGTTATCCAAGAATGAGTCATCAACAGAAAGCCTATTGATCGTAGATTCCAAAAATACAATTTTCAGACCGTGCCAAATTCAAATTATTGCTACAAGTGGCCTTGAAATACACTCATTTTCGTCTCGTGTGGAATTGATTAACAACGACGCCTGACACTAAAATGATTTTTGATACAACCAGGAATCGAACCTCGCTTCACGCACTTGCAACACATTGTTCTTACCACTAGACCATCTCGCCAAGACTTGCTTTAACTCTTTTTTATTTTACTTAATTCATTCTCGTCTCGGATGGAATTGATTAACGTTTGCTTTAACTTTTTGTTATTGTACTTAACTCTTTCTCGTCTCAGGTGGAATTGATTAACAACGACGCCTGACACTAAAATGATTTTTGATACAACCAGGAATCGAACCTCGCTTCACGCACTTGCAACACATTGTTCTTACCACTAGACCATCTCGCCAAGACTTGCTTTAACTCTTTTTTATTTTACTTAATTCATTCTCGTCTCGGATGGAATTGATTAACAACGACGCCTGACACTAAAATGATTTTTGACACAACCAGGAATCGAACCTGGCTTCACGCACTTGCAACACTTTGTCCTTACCACTAGGCCATCTCGCCTACACTTGCTTTAATTCATTTTATTCTACTTAACTGATTCTAGTCTCGGGTGGAATTAATGGACAACGACGCCTGACATTGAAATGATTTTACACACACCAGGAATCGATCCTGGCTTCACGGACTTGCAACCCTTTGCCCTTACCACTAGACCATCTCACCTACACTTGCTTGAAAAGTTAAGGCTATAGCCTTACTTTTTCTTTTTCAAAAATGAAATAAGTGGCCAAAAATGGACGAAAAGTTAAGGCTAAACCTTACTTTTTGTCATTTTTGGCCTCTTTTTCAAAAATGAAATAAGTGGCCAAAAATGGACGAAAAGTTAAGGCTATAGCCTTACTTTTTTGTCATTTTTGGCCTCTTTTTCAAAAATGAAATAAGTGGCCAAAAATGGACGAAAAGTTAAGGCTATAGCCTTACTTTCTGGTCGTTTTTGGCCTGTTTTTCAAAAATGAAATAAGTGGCCAAAAATGGACGAAAAGTTAAGGCTAAAGCCTTACTTTTTGGTCATTTTTGGCCTCTTTTTCAAAAATGAAATAAGTGGCCAAAAATGGACGAAAAGTTAAGGCTATAGTCTTACTTTTTGGTCGTTTTTGGCCTGTTTTTCAAAAATGAAATAAGTGGCCAAAAATGGACGAAAGGTTACGGCTTTAGCCTTACTTTTTGGTCGTTTTTTTCCTCTTTTTCAAAAATGAAATAAGTGGCCAAAAATAGACGAAAAGTTAAGGCTATAGCCTTACTTTTTTGTCATTTTTGGCCTCTTTTTCAAAAATGAAATAAGTGGCCAAAAATGGACGAAAAGTTAAGGCTATAGCCTTACTTTCTGGTCGTTTTTGGCCTGTTTTTCAAAAATGAAATAAGTGGCCAAAAATGGACGAAAAGTTAAGGCTAAAGCCTTACGTTTTTGTCATTTTTGGCCTGTTTTTAAAAAATGAAATAAGTGGCCAAAAATGGACGAAAAGTTAAGGCTATAGCCTTACTTTTTGGTCGTTTTTGGCCTGTTTTTCAAAAATGAAATAAGTGGCCAAAAATGGACGAAAAGTTACGGCTTTAGCCTTACTTTTTGGTCGTTTTTTTCCTCTTTTTCAAAAATGAAATAAGTGGCCAAAAATGGACGAAAAGTTAAGGCTATAGCCTTACTTTTTGTCATTTTTGGCCTCTTTTTCAAAAATGAAATAAGTGGCCAAAAATGGACGAAAAGTTAAGGCTAAGCCTTACTTTTTTGTCATTTTTGGCCTCTTTTTCAAAAATGAAATAAGTGGCCAAAAATGGACGAAAGGTTAAGGCTAGCCTTACTTTTTTGTCATTTTTGGCCTCTTTTTCAAAAATGAAATAAGTGGCCAAAAATGGACGAAAAGTTAAGGCTATAGCCTTACTTTTTGGTCATTTTTGGCCTCTTTTTCAAAAATGAAATAAGTGGCCAAAAATGGACGAAAAGTTAAGGCTATAGCCTTACTTTTTGGTCATTTTTGGCCTCTTTTTCAAAAATGAAATAAGTGGCCAAAAATGGACGAAAAGTTAAGGCTAAGCCTTACTTTTTTGTCATTTTTGGCCTCTTTTTCAAAAATGAAATAAGTGGCCAAAAATGGACGGAAAGTTAAGGCTAAAGCCTTACTTTTTTGTCATTTTTTGCCTCTTTTTCAAAAATGAAATAAGTGGCCAAAAATGGACGGAAAGTTAAGGCTAAAGCCTTACTTTTTTGTCATTTTTTGCCTCTTTTTCAAAAATGAAATAAGTGGCCAAAAATGGACGGAAAGTTAAGGCTATTATAGCCTTACTTTTTGGTCGCTTTTTGCTTCTTTTTCAAAAATGAAATAAGTGGCCAAAAATGGACGAAAAGTTAAAAACTACATCATAACTTACAAGTTTGAGTGACGAGCATGTACGACGACCTCCAATTGTTCTCAGAGTGAGGAACCTTGTCCTCAGCGTGAGGAACCTTGTCCTCAGCGTGAGGAACCTTGTCGTCAGCGTCAGGAACGACGTCCTCAGCGACAGGAACCACGTCCTCAGCGCCAGCGACCTCGTCCTCAGCCCCCAGAACCTCGTCCTCAGCGCCAAAAACCACGTCCTCAGCGGCAGGAACCTCGTCGTCAGCGCCAGGAACCTCGTCCTCAGCGCCAGGAACTTCGTCCTCAGCGCCAGGAACCTTGTCCTCAGCGCCAGGAACCTTGTCCTCAGCGCCAGGAACCTTGTCCTCACCGCCAGGAACATTGTCCTCAGCGCCAGGAACATTGTTCTCAGCGCCAGGAACCTTTTCCTCAACGCCAGGAACCTTTTCCTCAACGCCAGGAACCTTTTCCTCAACGCCAGGAACATTGTCCTCAGCGCCAGGAACATTGTCCTCAGCGCCAGGAACATTGTTCTCAGCGCCAGGAACCTTGTCCTCAGCGCCAGGAACCTTGTCCTCAACGCCAGGAACCTTGTCCTCACCGCCAGGAACATTGTCCTCAGCGCCAGGAACATTGTTCTCAGCGCCAGGAACCTTGTCCTCAGCGCCAGGAACATTGTCCTCAGCGCCACGAACCTTGTCCTCAACGCCTCAGCGCCAGGAACCTTGTCCTCAGCGCCGGGAACCTTGTCCTCAGCGCCAGGAACCTTGTCCTGAGTGTCCTCAGCGTGAGGAACCTCGTGAAAGGCCTTCGAAGTTTTTACTCTTGTGCAATCGAGTGAGATCATATAAATTTGATTATCGCGTATCATGTTTATTATAATAATCACTATAATAATCACAGTTCACGAAACAGGCATCCTTAATTCTCATTTCACGGAGCATTTTTATCAACAATCACGCCTCACGGCTGTAGAACAAATCCCATTTCACGACACTAAAATCAAGCATTTCACATTTCACTGGTTTTTCACCTGCACTTTTTTGTAGAGGTGAAAAACAACAGCGAAGATGGTGTAGTGCATGGACTCAACCTGTTGTTGTATGCTAGGAAGCCATGGTTATGCTAGGAAACCATGGAAATCCCGGTTGAGCTCAACATTCCTTTCGCTGTTACACTAAGCAACTTTTCTCGGAACGTGTCTCGTAATGTTAAGAAATACGATTTCAGCATTGCAAGGGTGTTACACCAAGCAATATGTCCATGCAATGATCATAGTATAAAAAACGCGAGTGCTAACGTTTGGCGCCAGAAATTGACAGTAGGAAGACATTCAGTGTATAAACATTGCGAGACAAATAGCATAGTGCAACAGCGCTTTAAAGGGTTAAATGAAATCAAAAGTACCAGCTCACAAGCAACAGTCACGGTGGTCTGGTGGTCTTGGCTACGGTGTCGCATGTCGGTGAAGTCCAAAAAAAGTGGTACGGTACGAAAAATCGAGCGTAGTGTAAACGGGGCTCAAAATATAGGTAGTCCAGGAACCAAAAACGTGGTGCGGGTACCAATTTTATCCGTGCCGTACCAAAAATTGAGCGTAGTGTAAATGGGGCTTTATTCACCTTAACCTTTTTCTCCAGATTGTAGAATTAATATTCAACCATTTTCGAACCCATGCAGAATGAACTTTTGTAGGACTTGAAACACAATGGTACATAACACAACCTGTAGTCTTTACCACTAGACCACTCGCTCGTTGTTGAAAGCCTATCGGTTAGGGAACTATATCTAGACTGTAAAAAAATGGACGTTTTTTGTCCCGTTTTCGGAAAAAGGGCCAAAAATGGACGAAATGTTATGGCTATAGCCCTGCTTCTGTGTCATTTTCCCCCCTTTTTCATGAGGTGGCCAAAAATGGACGAAAAGTTAAGCTAGCCTTACTTTTTCTCCATTTTTTGCCCCTTTCAGTTCAAAAATGGAAAAGTGGCAAAAATGGACATAACGATATAATAACCTTACTTTTCAGCCATTTTTTTCTACTTTTTCAAAATTGGTTTTCAACACGCTTGCATGGGAGTGACGTAGTTTAAATCTATTATTACGAGTTTACTATAGTACACGCGTAAAAACGCTCAGGTTGATGCAATACTGGAAAACAGGATTGAACAATGTTTTGCTGCCCACATTGTTCATAGCTGTCAACAATATTGAACAACATTGTTACACCCGATTCAGGCTCAACAACATTGTTCAATATTGTTGACAAGTGTGAACAACGTGGGCGGCAAAACATTGTTCAGTCCTGTTGAGCAACGGGCTAGGCGTTTTTTGCCGTATAGTGATTAAAACCCAATATATGCCGCTTAGCTAGATTATATGTCATGAACTCCAGTCGAAATATACGATACTCACCTAATTTTAGAACCGTCAAGGGCTTTGCTGTAGAAGGTAAGAACTTTTGAAATTGTCTCACGTGACATCATTTTATTCCCTTGGCAATCCACGGGATAACGGTTCCCAATACACACCATGTGCCCCGTTGCATCCTCTGGAAACACCGAGGAGAAATGTGTCTTCCATACCCCTGCATACTTTTTTAGAGATTTATTTCCCCAAAACAGCGGTCCGTTGGGACATTCCTTCAACGATGGGGGATTTTCACGACTGCTTTTGTTGAAAGGCAATCTCAATAAATTTTGATATCCCAAGCTGGAATTAACAAAAATCGGACGTCCTTGGTTATCGAGAAATGTAAAATTCATATTGAAATCAGTTTTCCCGCCAAGAATAGTGTAGTCGTCATCATCGTCACCAGGCTCTTCTATGGACTCCAAAAATGGCGTGAGCGTAACGCTGGGCGAATGTGCATAAAGTTTAAGCACATTAGTTAATGATTCTGGGTTCTTGTGAAATCCCGCGAAAAATTCCTTTGTGAGCGGAACAAATGTATCTCGACTTGGAAGTTTCCATAACACCTCAAAAGGGCGTTTGGTGTACCTGTAGACTGTTAATAACACATCCATGAAATATGCCCGGCCTGTTTGTAGCGAGACTTTAAAAATTAAAGATCTACTGTTGTTGACTTTTAAACCATGTTCCACCGGTAGACCACGGACGATTTTCTTGAGTAGTTTAGAACGGAGCGGATACTCGTTATCGCTTAACCAAAACTCACACGTACTCAGGCATTTCATGTAAACTGAATAGCTACCACTTTCGGGTGGTTTTAATAGCCCAGCAATACGCTGTCCATACAATTTTCCATTTTCTGACAACCTTAATCTTCGTATAAATCTCTTCTTGATTGGCAGGAGTGGAAACAACGGGAACTTTCGTAAACAGTTGATACTCTGACAACATATATGGTCCCATTTCATAGAAAGTAATCTTCCTGAGTAGTAAGAGACTTTGTGGCGAGGATGAGGTGGTACCGGCACTGCAGGCATATAATATAAACTGTATAAAGGCTTTGGTAGAGTCGGTGGTCGTTTCGAATGATGTTTGATAACTTTTCCTGAATGTTTCTTATTTATTACAGACTTTGAAGCGCGTTTCCTTTTTCTATCAAAGTAGCCATTTTCTTTCATTTGCGAGCGAGCGATACGAGTCGAAGAAATTACCATCGTTCTCCATTGGTCGTTGCTATCCAGCAGTTTGTTGCCGTGAAATGCAAACCACAGCGGAATGAGAATGCCATACACCGCAAACACAAACACCACAAGTGCTTTAAAATGAGATAACTCCATTGATTTAGTGCGGAACTTCAGCGGGAGTTTCATGTTATACGCATGGTGCATCTGATAAAAGGTATGAAGTATATAATATAAATAATTTGCTTTACCTTAATTGCATGAATCAGCTGTATATATAATAGCCCTATTCATGCACATTAGAGACGGACAAGTCGTCTAGACGAACAAATCGTCTCTCAAAAATCGTCTTCACAGACGGACAAGTAGTCGAACAAATTCAGACGACTTGTTCGTCTAAAATTTTGTCCGACACGTTTTCACATCTGATGATTTGTCCGACTAAAAGACGATTTTGAGACGATTTGTTCGTCTAGACGACTTGTCCGTCTTCTATAAATGTGAAAACGGCTAATTAGTTAATTATCTTAATTACTGCATATCGATGATCTGTCGTTTTGTTTAATTTAGGTATTATTGGAGAATTTAGAGAGGTTTAGCAAAGACGACACGACATCAAAGACGACGTGAAAATGGCGTGGGCACATCCATAGATGGGCATATCACGACATTTTCACGTCGTCGTTGACATCGCGTCGTCTTTGCTAAACCTATCTTTTAAGGGTTGGGCACACCGCTTACCGCGAAGGGCAAACCAAATCGCATTTGGAGTAAGTTCTACAACTGTTCGAAAGCTATAAGTATAGGTAACTTCATATACTTCGACTTCAATGAACTGATGACCTTAACTTTGTAGATAGCTCATGTTGAACTCAAAACATGATTTTTAGTTTGCCGTTTGCAGTCTGACGTAAACGTCAATCTAACAATCTTAATGTCTCTATCTACTAATTGCTTACCTTTCCCGTGTATAAAATGATTTATGTTCATTGTCGTTGATATTTGTTTTCCCGATTCAATGTCAAAGTTATTTTATATACAAACCGGCAGCGTGCAAGCGGCAGGTGTCTAATTGACGTCCAGACAATGAGACCAGCAAAGCGCCTTTCAAAACACGCTACTATTTTCGCTAAACTTCTTAATATACTCTATTATTGTTTTATTTTGTGGAAATTAAATAGTTGCCAAAAATTTTGATTCGTAAACTCTGGTGCACAGACAAAGTTCACACCTCACCGGATCGATTTGGAAACGGCGCCTTGAGACCATCCATGCATATCGGGATAGTTTAGCAACTATAGCTTATTTTGCTTGACTATGCATTTTAAAATTCTGGTGCGACAATTTTGAATTTAAGCTTCATTAATAATATAAATAACTTTTTTTTAAAACAACAACAACAACAACAACGACAACAACAACAACAACAACAACAACAACAACAACAACAACAACAACAACAACAACAACAAAACTACTGCGCAGAGTAGATAATCTGCACCATGATCTGTCAACAGGGACGCCGGAACTGGGGGGCAGGAGGGGCAGCCGCCCCCGTTGACCTTTACTAGGAGGCAACGGGGGCAAAGGTGTCCTTTCAATTTAAAGGATTGCCTTGGCGAAATAGCGAATTGTCAGAAATGTTAGTGCGATTCTTTTACGAATTTGCTTCAGAAAACGCAAGAAATGCAGTCATCGAACTTCAATTAAGAATAGCAGTTATAGCAGAATCGCCTGGCGGAGAACCCCCTCACACCCCTATCATCCAATACATAGAAAACAAGATTAGGCGAAGTTCAACTCCAGATGTTTTGCAAACATCCCTTAGTATATATCAATTCAAAAGTGCCCTTTCACGAAAATCTGCCCCCTTGCCTTCACATCGTTCCGGCGTCCCTGTCTGTCAAGATATGCATGGTCTGGAAATTAAACAGAAGTCATTGTGTTTTGTTTTTTTCTGAGATTTTTATGTGTCAATTCGTGCACGAGCACGTTGATTGAGCGTATTGTATTTTCGTATAATGAATTTGTAAAGGGATAGCTAGTGAGACGAAACGTGCAGCCACAATGAATATTTCATGAAGTTTTCGATATACTTAAAGAATTAGATTGACCTAATTTACTGTCGTTCCAATTGAAGTGTTGCTCAAATATTGATTCAATACATTACCTCGGGCTGACCAATTCATTTGATCAAGTTCCTCGAGATATTCATACACTTCCTGTGAAAGAGCCAATTCCAAGTATTTGATCATTTCTGGTCACTTCCTTTCTATTTATGATTGGTTAGTTGCACAAACAACAAAGGTGATTGGTGCATTCAAGCTATTCAACAGGAAGTTTACAATTATACTAGGAAGTGTATGAATATCTCGAGGAACTTGATCAAATGAATTGGTCAGCCCGAGGTAATGTATTGAATCAATATTTGAGCAACACTTCAATTGGAACGACAGTAAGTCTCAGAAGAAATAATCAATTATGTACTACAATGTATCAGGTAAATAATAATATGGTGCCTGATTACCTAATTGATTTATTCACGAAAACCAGTACACTTCATAATCATCAAACTAGGCAGGCTGAATTTAACTTTGCACTCCCGAGGCCAAGTACCAACTTTTGTAAAAAATCATTCTCGTACAGAGGAGCTGTAGCTTGGAATGATTTATTACCTAATATAAAAAATATGGGTTCATTGTCAACCTTCAAAAGGGCTCTAGTGTCAAATAGTGGTAATAATTCTTGATAATCAATTAATCTTTTTTTCTTTTTCTCTTCGATTTTATTGTATTAACTTAATAAAATATTTTTATAATTGCATGTAATTATTCATACATATATAGCACGGCCTATTGGAAGATCACATCTTGCAAATATTTTAGTTTTTGTCTTTGTGAAATAGTACCGTGGGTAAATAAATTTGATTGATTGATTGATTGATTTGTGAGGTACAGTTTAAATATCAAAACAAAGGTTTGCCAGATTTCCAGACCATTATACCTTGACAGATTATGTCTGCACAATTTTGAAAAAGAACTCAATAAATAACTGCCTTGCATTCAACTATAATGCCGCCAACATTTCAAATAAACGGCTAATTTGTATTAATATATACATTATTATATAATTATTCTGGATCGACTTCTCTAAGATAAAGCAATGTTCTTGTCTTTATTTTTGCCTGATGCAATGTAACGTTAAGATCGGAGAAAACCTGCCGTGGCACTTCAGAAGTTACAAACTCACACTTTCTAGGAATTACCTCATCGCTTATAGAACTATTCATTAGATATAGAAGTAAATCCGTGAATGTACTGAAACTACTGAAACAATTTTCATGTCGGCTGCCGTCTGGTAACTTTATAGCAATTTCTATCTGTTCATCATCAACACTACACCCTGATGAAATATCTCCACGACTCGCAGAAATTTGGTTATCCTGATTATCGAGTACATTTTTACCCAATTTCCCAGAATCTTCCTTTCCACGAGATCTATTAGAATAGTTCTTGGACTTTTTATCATTGACAGTTGGTTTTTCAAACTTTCTATTGTCACTCTTAGCGAGTTCATTTCTTAGATCACTGCACGAGCCAATGGCCGGTAATATTTTATACTTTTGTAAATTGATTTCATGGTCATTTTCAGTTTTCTCAATGGTAGAGATAGGACTTTCGTTTACATTTTGATTCAAGATCTTGTTCACATATCTCGTACGAGGTCTCCGTAACGAGGAAGGCCTCGATGAAGGTGGAGTGGGTATCTTAGTTGAATGTGGTGGTTCCATTCCAATCTCTGCATGGATCATGTCACTGCAATGGTGGAAATAAAATAAAACACTGATTTATTAATTGATTTTGAGTTAAAGTGCATATGAAACAAAAATTTTTATCGTCTTATTTAAAAGAACTATAAAAAAAATTAAAATACTCATTAAAAATTCATGGCAAATCATGTCAGCCATAATATGTCACGTGAAGTGACTTTATATCTGATAAAACTCATCTTCATTAGTGTTCTTTACATAATTGTTCATCCTAATTAGTATGATTATATAATTGTTCATCCTAATTAGTATATTCTTTTGTAGTCGTATTTTAAGCTATTCAAACACTCGTTGTCGTGTTTTATCAGATATAAAACGCTCGGCTGCGCCTCGCGTTTTATATCTGATAAAACACTCCTATACTCGTGTTTTAAATAGTACATAGAGTATTTTTTTTGCAGTTTTTCGCTCCGTTACTTCATATTCGAGATATTTCAGTTTGTTTGATATACGTGTCAGGGTTCTGCGTCACAAATATGCATAATGAGCTATCAGATTAAGTTGTATATATCCTTGCTATTGTCAAACAAAATCACGTGTTCCAGCAGTATAGTGAGCATTTGTGTTGTTCTGCAACATCAAATACCTGGATACCTGGAATTTCATTTCATATATAATCACAAGAATATATAACATTTTCAGCAAACTCATTATAGATCCTTGACACATTTATCAAAGTAACTGAAATATCTCGAAAACGAAACGAAACGGAAAACTGGAAAATAAGTTACTTTAAAGTTGTTTTTTAAATAAAAAGAGAATAAAAAAAGACAATAAACATGTTCCTTTCAAATGCACGTAAATCCACATTGTAATGCACCAAACGAACTCGACCATTTCCGTGAAAACCCAAGCTCCTGCTAAACATAAAGTAGATAATAGGGCAAGAACCAATTCTCATCTGGTCCTACATCTGACAACGATCAACAACCCTCAGCGTCCCATCATCACCCCAACCTGTCTATACTACTGGAGACTATCTGCTGGAAATGCTTAATCCATCTACGCTAAAAAGAAATCTAAAACAAAATATCAAACAAGACATTGTCTGGTCTTAACTCTATGGAGGAAATTATGTTTACTTAGAGATTTCAATTTACTATCAATGGAATTCCAGATTAAATTATACAACAGTAGCGCATATTAAACCAAAAAAGAATTTTGTAGAAGAATTAAGACCTAGTATTATAATTATGTACCTCAGAAACAATTTGAAAAAAACTATCAAAAGACAGCGGGTAAATTACCTATTTACCCACGTGGAAGTCAAACATGAATAGAGCATTTTGATAGTATATTAAATCGACAAATTTAAGTATGTCGCAATGTTTGAAAAGAGGGGTTGAGTGTGCCCTAAAACTATAGAGAAAGTCAATTCTGACGGCCTTTTCCTGTAACCTTATTAAGGTATCAAGATTAGATTGATATGTACCACCCCCAAACAGGTAAAGCGTACGTCAAATACGGATAAATGAGGGCATGGTATAATTGTTTAAGTATATGTAAACCCACGAAATTGCGAACTTTTGAGATCATATCAATGCAACGTTTGATTTTGTTTGACATATGAATAATGTGACTTTTCCAACGTAAGTTTGAGTCAAGGAAAAAATCCTAAGTATTTTATAAATTTTTCTTGTTCAATTGACTATTGTTGATAAATAAAGCAATCACGGATATGATGTCATCATATAGGATATGATTAGGTAAACTAATTTGCAATTCACCTAATGACATCATATCCAGAAATTGTGACAGTGAAAAAGTTGATCAAGATGGGATTTTTTATTATAACGATATATTACATTTCCTCTTCGAACGACCCAAATATTACAGATACAAAAAATCATATTTGGGGTTAGTCGCATTTTAAAGGTTTTTATATCGATACTAATTTATTTGATGTAAAAAAATCAGGGACATATGATCTTGTGCCTAAGGGTGAAACTTCTTAATGACCAAACACCCATTAACATTAACGTGTTTACCTGGTTTGTATGTTGTGTATAAAACTGGTAAATCTGTGAGACTAATGGAGATCGCCCAAGGACATGCAAATTTTCTAAATTGTGGTTAAATTTGGATGAAAATCAAATGAGGAATGAGCAAAAGTTTCTCTTGCGTTGCTGGGCAGAGTAAATGCAGGATTATCCCATAGCATAATGATACAAAACTTATTATCATAACGAATTAATCGCTGGTGGAGGAGTACAGTTTCCACGTGCCCTCTACAGTTGTATACATATTTACACACCCAAATTGAGTTGATTATAGAAAATATTTGGTTATATAATTGTGTATACATTAGAAATATCCCTCGACCTTTAAACAGCAATACATCAATCTGTTGAATTGTTTTTCAACATTATCGTTGCACAACTCCAAAACAATCAGAAATGTTTTGGTTAAACAATCGACAAAACAACGTGCATGGACACTTGAATGCTAGGTCAAGTTTACGTAGGTGTTTAACCAATCATAAAACGAGCTTGTGGGTCTGATGATCTCTTAAATGTACTTCCTCGCAAAGAATATTTCAGTACTGTGCAACTGCCCGAAGCCAGAATATTAAACCTGCCAAGAACTTTCTGAGCGTGAAAACACAATGGAAAACCAAACGACACAAAGAAGACGGGTGAAGAATAAACCGACCATTAAGCGCCTTCTTGCAAACAAATGTGAGCGAGAACGCGTAAGAAAGATCAACGAAGCTTTTGAGATTCTGAAGACACATATTCCGTATTGTGATTCGGGGCGGATACGCACAAAGCTTGATGTGCTAAAGTTCGCCATTGATTACATACAGATTTTGACGAAAATGGTGTCGCAGAGTGAAGCAGCGACGCTTCTGAGAACGCCGCGATTGGAAAACGAATCAGCTTTTATGTTAAGCACAGAAGGAAGCGAAACTGAAAGCTTAAGGTCATCGAGTGAAATGTTCTCTGTACGACTGGACGAAGCGAGTGCGTTTCCATTTGATGATCAACAATCGCAACTGGTAAGCCAAAGTACTTGTTATACGTTCTACACTATCAAAGTGTGCTTCAACACTAAGGAACAACTTCGCTCACGTCAATTTTTGATTACGCGAATATGATCACACAAACTTCGATAAACTCCTCAAAATATCAAACATCATCTTTCGCCGTTTGAAAGTTTGTAGAAACATTCTGAAAGCCAATTTGTAACCCGAGAGATTAAAAAATAGAGTAGTATAAATAGGCTAAATATAGCTCTATATAACGACGCCATAATGCGCGATCACGTTTTTTAGGAAGAACATTTTACGAACATTTTGTAAATGTTCGAGTGTAAATTTTATACGTTTATTAAGGCTGCATGGTTTACACTATCAAAGTTTCTGTGACCACAGTAGGAATGTTGCATAGGTAAATTCTAAGTTTTGAAGAATTTGTAAGATATGTTTGAGAGAACTGACTCAGTGTTTAACACGAAGTCAGTTTCCTCAAAAATTTCTTACAAATCCTTCAAAACTTAGAATTTACCTCAGCAAAATTTCTACTGTGATCACAGAAACTTTGATAGTTTTTTAGACTTAACAATGGACCATTTGCATTATAGACTAAATTTTGATCTAGACAAAAATTTCATCACAGCTTGAAAGAGCATCACAAAATTGGTAATATTCCAAAGTTTCGTTGCGAATTGTTGTAAAATGCGGATAATATAGCCATGCGAAGTTTGCATGGCTATATTATCCGCATTATAAAACAATTCAAAAATTAGTTCTATCGAATGAGATGCCCCAAATCCTGATTATTATTCATATACAAACTATGATTAAATTTAACTTTGGTTAAACAACTTTGATACTGTAAAGTTAACCTGCTTAAATTAGGGCTTCCATTTAAGCGTTTATACGTGCGTGCACGCATAGAAAAATTCAATCCATTTAAAGTTTCTATACATATTGAACAAAAGCACAGCATTTAATTGTGCGTGCGATTTAATTTGTATACTTGTTGAGGTAATTATAGTACTTATATATAGAATTTAGAAAGATTTAAACTTTTCCGTGTGTATATGCATGTATGAAACGCACACGCAGCCTTTAACAATAACAGCTAGAGGGCTTGTGATTTGAGTACACGATTCATCATTTGCGCGTCCATGGCGAACGTTTAAATCCCACAAGAACGTTTAAATCCCATGACCACAGAATAAAGATCAGTAACAGAAGGGCAACTCAGCGGTGCAACGTGTCCTCGTTTTTTTATGCAAAAATATGCAGTTTACTGGCCAGAAGGCGGAGCAGCCAGCCAGCTAGTACAGCGTGTTTATTGGCCAGAAAATGTCATTGACTGGCTAGGAAAATGGCGGCCAACATGCGTAATGCGACATGCGCGAGGACAAAAACTTCAAAGCTTCAGACGTAAGTTGCCCTTCTATGTGGATCTTTATTCTATATGCCCATGACATAAAAACGGAAATCATATATAAACAATTAATTTGTCATCAATGTTCAAGAAAATGAAATATAAAACAAAATCTGAAAAATGAAAACATCTAGTGAAAACCCAACTGAGATACAATGTATGGACTAAACTTTTTTAGGACATGCATGCATATAATGACCTGAGCAAAGTTTTGATTAAGCAAGTTCTATGAATGGATAAAACTTTATTTAGTTCTTGGCAAAATTTTGATCAAATCTTATGCGACTGCATAAGAAAATAAAAGCCTGAAAATTTAGATTTTAATCTCAAGATTGCAGTGTCAGTAATACATATACTGTATGTTGAAATAACTACCCAAATGTCAATGCATTCAAAGCCATATCAGTTAGATGCATGCTTATGGCTGTCCCATATACAGAATCATACATTCTGATTCGCAAGATTATATAAGCGCCATTTGGCTTTAGTTAATAATTATAGTAATATTATAAACTTGTAAGTTAAATTCTCTCTGGGGGGTGGGGCAGTTGCCCCTGCTGCCCAACCGCTGCGTATAGCGTATATGGCCCTAAATGTGTCACTCTCTTCTCTAGGGAATAACCTCGCCTACATTGAGTGATGATGAAGTATTCTTCGGAGCCGATCTAACCAATGACGAAAACTTAACTGGTCAGTACCCCGCATGGTCAGACAATCAATCTGGATTTCACCAAGCACAAACATACCACCACAATGAACAACACACACCCCTTAGAACCTACTCGTTTGACGAACAACCACAGGACGTATCGCCATTCTGGCTGAATCAGGCCAATGGGATTGCTAGAGCAGTCATGTCATTGAATGGATCGACAACACCTCCGAGTGACAGCAATAACAATGAACTAGCTGAATGGCTACATTTATAAACCATTCCATTGTGACTATATATAAGTGAAACACAAATAACGATTGAACAGATCAAGACTTTGACATGCATATATTTAATGCACCCAGCGTCAGCTACATGTTAATGATTCAAACGTAATTAAAGACTGCATGTTTCCATATGGTCGTAACGGTCGTAAAGATTGAGTCACGATCTTTCTCAACAGCTGAAATACAACAGTTTAACACTCATGATAATAGGCAGATATAAATAGCGAATACTTATATTTATATGTGGTTTACAGGCAGAAACTATTCAAATCTCGGGCAGTTAAGAAAGATCATGCATGACTCCGTCTGTCTTTACGACCGTTACGACCATGTGGAAACCAGGGCTTTATCCCGACACAGAACGCGTCAATTTGAATGCACAGTCGGGACTCGAGGCCCGTTTACACTTGCGACTTTTGCCGCGATTTTCTTCTTCTGATGATTTGAACGAGTGGAAGAGCTATGAATTTTCATGTGAGGGTACACATATAGTCAGAGCATTCATAACTCATCTATTCGTTCACATGCATCAAAAGAAAAGCCGAGTCTAGAAAACGCAGTAACAATTAAGGTCCAGACACACCGGACGCGATTCGACAACGCGACGCGATTTTTCGATTTTCACTGACCGATAACTTTGATAAGAACAAAACAATAGACACTCCGAAAATAGTTAACATTTTATTCAACGTTTCGACTAGGTTTCAGTCATCATCAGGAATGACGCTATTGAAAAATACTGAGATATATATTTACAAGTTAAGCGGATCAAATTACGCGCTAATTAAATATCACAAGTTCCTTAGAGGCTCTAGTTCCGTGATTAAGTTCCGGTTTTTGGCGATGTATAAGTAAGGACTCCTTATATAACAATAATGACCAATGTCTAGATTTATCTAAAATAACACAGTTTTGGTATATGATGGCTTCTGTGGTATGTGGATCAAATTGAGCAAGTAGTGTGTTGGGTAGGTTTAGTAGAGTCTGATAATATTGGAAGTGTTCACATGACATAATATGTTCTAAGCCTCTAAGGAACTTGTGATATTTAATTAGCGCGTAATTTGATCCGCTTAACTTGTAAATATATATCTCAGTATTTTTCAATAGCGTCATTCCTGATGATGACTGAAACCTAGTCGAAACGTTGAATAAAATGTTAACTATTTTCGGAGTGTCTATTGTTTTGTTCTTTTTAAAATTACTCAATAACTTTGATCCTAGTCTAAATTTTCCAAATATTTAGAAGCGTTATAACATTTTGAGTTATTTGGGCGAAATATCTTTTAAAATTTGCTCTCATTGGCTGTTTTATTAACTTTCAAAAACTAAAAAATCGCGTCGCGTTGTCGAATCGCGTCCGGTGTGTCTGGACCTTTAAGAGCGTTTGCACATGACGTCACAGCCGCCATGCATGTTGGTGTTCCAATTCAAAAGAATTTTAATTAGACTCCTTTGTCTGGAACACCAACATGGCCGCCATGGCTTTTGTTGAGTTGGTGCCTGGAGAATGAGTGCAAACGCTCCATGTGCAAATTCCATTCTTTCAAACTCACGATTTACAACAAGAGACAAATGAGTATAACATCCAGATATTACTGTTGAACCTTGTTGTCTTTCTTAATTCTTGAATTCCAAGATGGAACACTTCGATTCGACATTTGTTTCACTCTATGTACAGAATGGAAATAGATTTAGCGTCTAATCTTTTAAATAAGGAGCGGAAATAATTTATTAATGGGATACCTATATATGGATAGTCACATATATACAATAAAATCTCGAACGGGCGCGATGCCAGTCGCGGTGCGGAGATGTCTGTTAACTACCTGAAAAAATTAACCAGAATTTTGACGTTTCGATCGAAGGCCTTTCGTCTGGAAGTTAGTAGGGAGCTTAAGCATGTAGGACGACGACGTCAACTAATACAATGAGTCAATGAAAAGAAATAAATAATTAAAGTCCCAGGGGAGTTTCAAACGTAAATAATTAAAGTCCCAGGGGAGTTTCAAACGTAGTCGTCGCTCTGTTTACAACGGCAAATCACAGATTTTTAGGCTACGTCTTTTATACAACGCCTGCATTTCAAGCCGTAACAAGTGCAACTTAAAATTCGGTTCAGTAGAACTCTTCCCAAACATAAAGCCAATGTTTTCAACTTCTTATACGACAAGTTTTCTTTACTATCATTTATTTGAAGGAATTTGTTTTGGCCGTCGTCGTCGTGTTGCCGTCCTACATGCTTAAGCTCCCTAGTGACGACCGGGGCCTTCGCTCGCAACGTCGAAATTCTGTTTATATTTTTCAGTTGTATTCTTACTGCAGCTGTCACTCGCATTGTTCACATATTCACAATATCATAATAATAACACTGAGTCGACGGCATACATGTAGCTGCTTAATTGAATTGACAGTATCATTAATAATGCATCATTATACTGTATATATAAAAGGAATAAAATGACCATAGTATTTGAAAATGAATGACTGAAGTTCTTGCTCCAGATATTGGCGAACTTAAGATGAGCTAAATCTATTTACTTGTGCTTTTCTTTTGGATTTGTTACCAGTTCAAATTTGTTTTTCACCTGTATCCTTCTTCGTTGACAAAAATAATCCATATTTTTTACCCGTGTTGCTGACACTGCGAATTTAGGGCGTGTTTTTTGTCACGTGCACGTACTAGATTTACCACATCTTAGTATCCAGTTTTTGATATACAGGGTGTATAAAAAAAACTGAACAGATATGAATTTGCTCTCAATTTCGCAAAACAGCTATTAGTAACCAGTTTTTGATGTATATAGCTTCTTTGGGTACTTATAATGTAGAATAATGAAAAAAATTTCTCGAACTCAAATTTTGTGAACCAGGGGGTGTGTCTTTTCCAACAAACTGAAAATGGCTTGCGCACGCGATTTAAAAGCTATAATCGTATTTTGAGTTAATGGATGAAAACTGTGTTGGGTGTTTAATTGCTGCACGAAATTTCAGACAATTTGCTTCAGTTTAAGCCCTTCAACTATCCACGCAAACTTACATTTTTCCTAAAAAATCAGCAATTTGCATGCTTAATTATCAATGCTTTGCCCAATTCGGCATATGTCAGCAATATGCAAATTAGGTAAAGGCATTAATTAAGCATGCGAAATAAGGCTGATTTTTTAGGAAAACTAAAGCAAATTATCTGAAATTTTGTACAGTAATTAAAAACTCAACAAATTTTCCATCCATTAACTCAAAATACGATTAATTAAAGCTTTTAAATTTCGTTCGCAAGCCATTTTTAGTTTGTTGGAAAAGACACACCCCCCTGGTTCACAAAATTTGAGTTCGAGAAATTTTTTTCATTATTCTACATTATATAAAGTACCTAAAGAAACCATATACATAAAAAAACTATAGATACTAATGGCTGTTTTGCGAAAATGAGAGCAATTTCAAATTTGTTCAGTTTTTTTTTATACACCCTGTATATTATTATATAGAGCCCACTGGCCACTGAGCTCACATTGCCTTGTAACCATGGGCCTGGTCCACGATATAGTGGCCTTGTCCAGGTGTAATTTTTTATCTTGAATTAGGCCTGGTTATAAGGCAAAATAAAAGATACGAATAAAAAAGTGTATTTATTTTTCCAGGAACGTACAGTGTATTTATTTTGCCGTAATTTGTGCTGAGGTTGTTATTATGGAAACTGGCCTGTGGCTGTTTACATATTTTCCATAACTTTCGTCCTGTTTTTGCCACACATGAAGTGCATGGTTTTTCCTTAATCATACAGCATAAAACAATATATCGAATAACGTACGTAAACAGGCAAAATATACCTCAGTTTAAAGTTACTTTTATTCTTGAGATTCTACTCGTGATGTATAAATGCATAGCCATATATAGGTGTATTGATATTCTTATGAGTATATGAGCCGTGCAAGCAGAACATTCTACTTCATTGACCACGGCTGGGAATCGAACCCACGACCTTCGCATTTCTAGAACGACGCGTGGGAATCGAACATTCTACATTTCGATGCAACAGTTGCCTGAGGATTGTGGCATGAAACTCTGACCAGCAAAATTTTCGGCTCCATGCCACAACCTTCGTCAGAAATATCTTTACTTTGAGTCGTGGTAGACTGTTTAATTTGTTCTATATAAGTATTCATGTCTTGTCTACCGAGCAGGCCTTATTATATCTGATATCGTGTATGTGATATATATAAATACGAATGTATCAAGTATCTGCATGGACGTGTTAAATTATAAAATAAAAATTTTCCGTATTGATACCCAGTTATATGAACAATTATATGAAATTGTGTGAAAACAATGAAAAGTGAAAACACTCCGCCCTCCGGGCATCGTGCTTCCACACAATTTCTCGTTTTCCCAATTTCCACTCGTGTTGATATAACTGTATATCAACACGGAAAATGTTTTACATTTGTTAAATATATATATTTTGAATAACATTAAATTATTTATCATGTCTGGAGAACAAAATTCAAAAACAAACGCTTTGTTTACATTTTGAACTGCTGCATTTGTAAAATATGATATACTAACTGAATATCCAACACTTTTCTGGTTCGCCATGCTTGTAAAAGAATATAAACTCTACGTTTCAATTAAAAAATGTTCGAAAGATGCAAAATTTGGGCAATGTTTATATCTGTGGATCCTCCTATTTTATGAGCAGACCTGATGCGCAGAACGGAGTTTACAACATCTTTAAAGATTCGGTGTTAATAGGCCGACTTTTATGTTAAGTAGGCATATTGAGCCGTATAATTTCGCCACTCCTTTTGCACAAATGGGAAGAATTTGAGAAAGTTCGTGAAGTGATTCAAGTTTCACGCCAACTACAGTCTATAAATCACATCGCTCAGCAGGTGACACTGTGCCTTTAACAAATACATATTACTCTTCAATACATACTATACCTACACTGGAATTACAAGATTTGCTATGTCTTTATTTCCCTGTTATGATTTGCTATGTCTATCACTATATAAGTATCAGTATTTCCCCATGTATGGTATAATCTGTGCATATATTATCAATCGCTTCTCTCTCTGTCTATTCGACCTTAACCTCATAAAAAAATCGAAAACCTAGCTGTTATCAGATTGCCGTAAAAATTTTGTCTAAGGTTGGAAATATTTAGGAACCGAATAGACAGTTGTGATATAGACCTCGATATAGACTGCTAGTCTAGACATTTCACAAAAAAATTTTAAGTTCTCTAATTATATCATTAGTTCATGCACGCAGAGGCGAGGCAAATAATGGGACTGCACGCATGCATGGGTGTGTGTACATGTAGGCAGTTAATTATATATGTCGACCTTTCAAAGTCAAAACTCAAAATCGACCGAATATGTAGAATGTGGGCGTGGTAGTTATGTTGTGTAAAACGTTACAAACAAATAGAAGCAAAAAGAAAGAGACAGAAGAAAATTCATTAATATACTTCATGAGGAAAATTCACAAGCAATGAATATTCTTATCAAGATCTGTAAATCGAATAAAATTTCCGCGAATCAACCGCAGATTGGCTACTAATGCCTTATATATTACACTAAAACGTCCATTGCGCTTGTCGCGCTTAGAGGTCAAGGTTTTGCGTTTTTTTGCGAGGTTATCAGTTTCGACTTTCAGTAGCACATTGTTCAAAGTTGGGTTAAAATTCAACTTGTTACTATGCTAAATGTGCATTCCTGCACTCAACAGGATTCGTATACAAGTCAGGAAGAGTCAAATTCAAGGACCTTCAGTTTAAGGACATTCAAGGCCATGTATATCAGCCAATTCATGCAATGACTAAATACGGAAGAGAAGGCGTTAGAAATCAGTAAAATGTGACGTTCAATTGTTCAAAAAGGGCACAACTTTAATGAATTTCAAACAGCTTTGTCAGATATGAGCATGCAAAATCATGCAACAAGAAGAATTTAAGGAAGTTCAAGCACTTCTTTAGAAATTCATGCACGGATACTCAAGGTCTTGAATTTTTGTTTTCAAATTCAAAAGCATGTCTGAATTTATATTAGCCTATACTATACAGGGTGTCTCAAAAAAAACCAAAATCATTGAAATAACGTATTGTTCGAATTTCAATGCCGTAACACAAAGGATTTTGACAGGGTGATTAATTTGTTTTAAAAAATTAAAATATCTATGTAAAGTGAACGTTTGTTTGCTCATGGGAATTTAAAAATGCTTCGTAAATTGTAATATGCGTAATATGCATTCGTGGGTTTAGTACTTTATGCCTGACATAACAAGTTTACGCTGAGTATTACCATTCATTATAGCAGTTATGTCAATCTTTTATGCACTCGTGGGATTAACTTAGTGCTAGGGCATTGAATATCGAACAATACGTCAATTTCAATGATTTTGGGTTTTTTTGAGACACCCTGTTTAGGATTAAGCTTATTGGCCTTCGAACAGCCGACCCCATGCAGAGGACAGCGTTAATTGAATGATCCCTACCTTAAACCTGGTTTACAGCACTATCAAGGTTTTGAAGTATTTGTAAGAATTTTTTGAAGGAACGATGACTCATTGTTTAACACTAAGGTAGTTCCCTCAAACATTTCACACAAATCCCTCAAAGAACGTAGAATTTATATACCTAGTGAAATTCCTATAATGTGATCACAGAAATTGATAGTATTTTGACCCACATTCTTGGTCAAACACATAGAAGAGACAGTAGCCATGCAAAGC